CCTATACCCCCAAAGTGGCAAGGGGAGTTAGGGGACAACAATAGCCTAATAAAAAAGCTAGGTAGACCTCTTTTGGCAAAAAGAAACATAAAAGCTTTGAGAAAACAAAAACAAAAACAAAATGACCCCGAAGCAACACCACGGATCAACCGGTCCCCAGAGAAACCTCGGCCGATGCTGATATGAAGGCTGCGCCAGCTGCAATGTCCCCCACCCAGCAAAACACACTCCCTACCCGGGGCAAAACGGAAAGTTCAAGACCCCCGATAGACACCCAAGGGCGAAAACGACGTCAAGCAACGAAGCCCTCAACCGGGAATGAGACCAAAACGACTCGGGAAGGAAACCCTGACCCGCAAGGGAAGTACTTACCGGGCAACTAGGGAAGATAGTCCTAGGCGCATGCAGCCTGGTAGCTGCTTGATACCTGCTTGATGGGGTTCTGGGAGTTCTTCTACTCCCCAAGCCCGGCCCGAGGCCAAGCTCGACTTTTGAGAGTTTGGTCCACCAGGCTGTTGCTTGGAGCGGCCTGCAGGCCCACATACCCACCACAGCCCGGCTGATCCGGAACTTCTCTTAGAAAACAGTCCAGCTTTCTCTTGAATATGTCCACGGTTGTTCCAGCAATATTTCTTTTAGTCGTTGGGAGGACGTTGAACAACCGTGGACCTTTGATGTTTATACAGTGTTCTCTGATTGTGCCTATGGCACCTCTGCTCTTCACTGGTTCAATCTTGCATTTTCTTCCATATCGTTCACTCCACTACATTGTTATTTTACTGTGTAGATTTGGGACCTGGCCCTCCAGTATTTTCCATGTGTATATTATTTGGTATCTCTCTCATCTCCATTCTAGAGAGTACATTTGGAGAGCTTTGAGACGATCCCAATAATTTAGGTGTTTTATCTCGTTAATGCGTGCCGTATATGTTCTCTGTATTCCCTCTATTTCAGCAATCTCTCCTGCTCTGAAGGGGGGAAATGAGTACTGAGCAGTACTCGAGACGGGACAACACAAGTGACTTGAAGAGTACAACCATTGTGATGGGATCCCTGGATTTGAAAGTTCTCGTAATCCATCCGATCATTTTTCTGGCTGATGCAATATTTGCTTGGTTATACTCCCTAAACGTTAGATCATCAGACATCATTATTCCCAAATCCTTGACATGCTGTTTTTCTACTATGGGAAGATTCGATTGTGTTTTGTACCCTGTATTATGTTTCAGATCCTCATTTTTGCCGTACCTGAGTACCTGAAATTTATCACTGTTAAACATCATGTTATTTTCTGCTGCCCAATCGAAAACTTTGTTGACATCTGCTTGTAATTTTTCAATGTCTTCAGCAGATGTAATTTTCATGCTGATTTTTGTGTCATCTGCGAAGGATGACACGAAACTGTGACGTGTATTTTTGTCTATATCTGATATGAGAATAAGGAACAGCAGTGGTGCAAGGACTGTACCTTGAGGTACAGTGCTTTTAATATCGCTTGGACTCGATTTTATTTGATTGACTGTTACTCTTTGTGTTCTGTTCGACAGGAAATTGAGTATCAAGCGTCCTACTTTTCCAGTTATTCCCATTGACCTCATTTTGTGTGCTATCACCCCATGGTCACATTTGTCGAACGCCTTTGCAAAGTCTGTATACAACATCTGCATTTTGCTTTTCTTCTAGAGCTTCTGTGATTTTGTCATAGTGGTTGAGTAACTGTGACAGACAGGATCTTCTCGCTCTAAATCCATGTTGTCCTGGGTCGTGCAACTCATTGTTTTCCATAAAACTAGAAATTTGATTCCTAATCACTCTTTCAAACACTTTCATTATGTGTGATGTTAGTGCAACTGGCCTATATTTTGCCAAGGCTTTACTCCCCCCCTTGTGCAACGGAGCTATATCTGCAGATTTAAGTGCTGTTGGTATCTCCCCTGTATCTAGGCTCTTTCTCCATATTACGCTGAGTGCTCTCGCTACTGGTACTTTACATTTCTTTATGAATATTGAATTCCATGAGTCAGGCCCAGGAGCTGAGTGCATAGGCATATTGTCAATTTCTCTTTCAAAATCTTCCGAGTTTGTGGTAATATCCATTATATTATCTGCAGCTTGAATGTCATTCATAAAGAAGCTGTCTGGGTCATCAACTTTCATGTTGTTTATTGTGTGCTAAACATAGCCTCATACTGGCTTCTTAGAATTTCACTAATCTCTTTGTTGTCCTCTGTGTACGTACCTTCAGTTGTAATTAACGGTCCAATACTGGTCGAAGTTTTGGATTTTGATTTTGCGTATGTGAAAATATATTTCGGATTTTTCTTTATCTCTTGTATAGCTTTCTGTTCCAATTCCATTTCCTCAGACTCATATGATCGCTTCAATGTTTGTTCTATTTCTTCGATCTCCCTGCTTAGGCTTATTTTCCTTGCTTGTGATAGTTGTGTCTGCTGAAGCATTTCCGCTATTTTTTTTTTGTACACTTTGAGAACACCTGGTACACTTTGAGAACACCTGGACCACCATACCACACTATCCTGGCAAAGCCAAAACATGCCAAAACCAATCAAGAATCGAGGTCAGAGAGGACGGCATAACACCGTCACATCAGTCTTTGAACTGAGGGTGAAGCGAACAGCTTGGATGAGTGGAGAGGGAAGGAGCGCTAACGAGCAAGTGGGCCAGTGAGATTACGATATGCTTGTTTCCTTGTTTTCTATTGGGGGATTTCTTTGGCTCTGTTTGGATGTAGGATGCAATTTTAATGAGTTGGAAAGTTTGTAATGTCTCGCCTACCTTTCTGGTGGTATCCCCGGTGGATGGCAGACACGACTATACTCTAAGTGTAGAGTGCTCATATGGCCACTGCTCCCTGCACCTCTCTGAGTGGACCAGGTTCTGGCACTGGTCTCCAGTAGGCACGCTCAACTCCAAAGACTGATGACACCAAACTAATATGGCACATGTCAGTTTGATAGCTTCAGGGAGCCTCCAGAGCTCCCCACAGAAAATGATTGTAGAAACAATCAAGGCCAACACTAGTCCTCTGACACATGCAACTCTGTCAACAAGACACAAGGCCTTGTCAAAGAACATTTACAAGGTCTGACATTGACATTATCCAGCAACCCACTTCTACATCTCACCAAACCAGTAGAGATGTAGATATTTATTTCATTTCCACTTTTCCTGACATTTTGCATCATAATTAATCATTCAATAAGGAAAAATATATATATATTTTTTTTGGGTGCATGAGCGAACATGTGTGTATATGATAGCTGAACATGGGACATGAGAGGATATGGTTGAAAGCCAAACATGCAAATTTAACTATAACATAAGAGGAAGGCAATTACAAGAAACAATACAAAAAGACCTAGGAGTATTTCATGTGAATAAGATAACATCAGCAGTATATGGGCAGTTACCAAACATAACATCATTTAAGAATCTAAACAAGGAGTCTTTCAAGTCCACACACACTACTTATATAAAACCATTACTTGACTATGCAGGCAGCTCCAGCATGGAACCCACACCTTGAGAAGCTTAAACAGAAAGTTCAAAGGTTTGCAATTAGATTAGCAACAGAATTAAGATGTCTCAGCTATGAGAACAAGTTGAGAGAACTCATCCTTACAACCTCAGAGGAGAGAAGAAACTGTACAAGACCTTGGGGAAGGAGGGTGGAATAGATAAAGTAGGTAGAAGAAGCCTGTTTAAATAAAAAAAAAGAGGCAGGATGAGGGGACATCGGTGGAAGCTGGAACTGCAATTGAGTCAGAGATTTAAGGAAGTTCTTGTTCCCTGTGCGGGTGGTCAGCAAGTGGAATGCACCGAGGGAAGAGGTTGTTGAAGCCATGTACATACACAACTTAAACAAGAAATATGATGATAACAATAATGTTGAGAGATGTAATTAGCACAGCTGGTATAAACAGCTAGGTAAGGCTAGGCATAAATAGTTAAACCTCACTCCCTCATAGTCACTGATATGTAAGCACTGATATGCATGCAGAGATGTAAGAAAGCACTTCTTTAGTTTGTTGGTAGTAAGTGAAATGAAGTGGAATAGGAGACAGCAAAGGTTAATTATCTGTATATTCACAGCTTTAAAAATAGATGTAAGAGTTACAGGAGTCAATGCACCAGACAAAGCACAGCTAGAAAGGTAGGGATCTAGAGCTGAAGCTTGACCCTTTAATCTCTACTGACAAAGAATTACAAGATTATCTTGAGATGATTTCGGGGCTTAGCGTACCCGTGGCTCGGTCCTCGACCAGGCCTCCTTTTCATAACACCCCCCCAGGAAGCAGACCGTAGCATCTGTCTAACTCCGAGATATCTATTAACTGCTAGTTAACATGGGCATCAGGGTAAAAGACACTGCCCATTTGTTTCCGCCTCCACCGGGGATCGAACCCAGAACCTCAGGACTACGAATCCGAAGCGCCATCCACTCAGCTCTCAGGCCTCTAAGTCAGGTAAGAACACATTTTATATGTATTTCAAATATAATTAAATGAGCATGATTACCATGATATTTGGTATTAGAGGTAAAACCTGTGAGATAACCCAAACCAAAAACCATTGAGATAATGAGGAGCAAGACCAATTACTGCACTTGCATTTGTCTTATCTTACCAATCTCTATCAACTTGTTGCTATTAACTAAACTCAGGCAAAATCTAAAACAATATAGGCGAAGAGGCATCTCTCACAATCAAAGTTATTATAACAAAACAGGAAATGATGAGCAAAATTAAGCAATTAAGATAATCCTCCAACAATAGACTAAAGGAATGAGCAAATAAAATAATACCAACGCATACCCTCAATATTGGCAAGTATTATGCTATGAGAATGTTAGTCACCTTCAGCTAGAGTGTGTTAGTAATCTGAACGTTAACAAGCTTCTATTTCTAAAGCATAAGAAAAGAAAACCAATATAATGACAAATACAACAGGCAAAAATATATCCAGGGAATCTGTCATACCTATCGTTGCCTTCAGATTCCTTTGATTGTCGGCTTGAACATGAAAAAAAGCATGAGGTTACTATACAAAAATTGTCTACATATGCCTAGAGAAGCACTAATTAATGCTTCTAATCTTGTCTGACACAAAGATAATGTGTCCCATTACATACTTGAAGAGCATCCATATTATTTAATTAAGTAGCTGTTAATATTTATCATATGTGCAACTTTATTAAAGAAATCAATCACATACTGAATGTTTATTAATTTAGTAGAAAAACATAAATGACACTATTCTTAGGATAACTACAAAAGCTGCCAAGAAAAGAAAATTGCTATTTACAAAATTAATTTTGCATTGGTTACCTGTTGTCGAAGTCATGATGTGGTGCACCATAATTGTCATGAGGTGGAGGAGGACCCGTCATTCCTGGTGGAGGTAGACGCATGTCTTGGTCGTTTCCTTGAGGAGGCGGGCCTCTTGGTGCTCCACTCAACTGCCGCATGTCAAAGTCACCTCCTGAGTTCATACATGCATCATATAAAACCAGTGTTGAACGTAATGAAACGCCAATTTCTGGGTGAGACTCGGAGGTTCCCCAGAGCTATCCAGGCTGATATGGATATACAGTATTAGACTTTGACATCAGTCAATGTCCATGGAGTTCTAGGCCTACTGGGGTCCACGAGCCAGAACCTGGCCCTCTCAGAGAGGCATGAGGAGCAATGGCCTATAGAGACCCCATTGTGGTTGGAAGCATTCTATGTCTGCCATCGACCAGATCAGCCACCCAGAAAGGTTAGCATCCCAAACAAAACAAACAAAGCGACACAGGCCTGACTAGGCCCTGGAACATTCACGAGGTAACAAGCAGCAAGTATAGCCTAAAAAACTCCAGAGCCAAGCACACAACCTCTGCCTCTAGCATCAGCTTGAAAACTGGGGATGGATAGCCAGCATGGAGGGTCTGGGGATCCCCCTTCCCCCTCCCAGGGAGAGGGGAGCTGCGCAGACAGCGGCGCGGTGACGTGTGATGTCATGATTGTTTGCTTGTTTCTTTTAGGGGAGTTCTATCCACTTGTTCATCTTGTAGTAGCAATAATTTCACCAGAATAGGGGTTTGTTTTGGGATGCTTACCTTTCTGGGTACCTGACCCGGTCGATGGTAGACATAGAATGCTTCCAACCACACAGGGGTTTCTATAGGCCATTGCTCCTCTTGCCTCTTCTGAGGGGGCCAGGTTCTGGCTCATGGTCCCCGGTAGGCCCATAGAACTCCATACACATGACTGATGTCAAAGTCTGACATTAGCATATCAGCCTAGTGAGCTCCAGGAAGCTGAAGGGGCTCCCCCCAGAAAATATTTTTCTTAGGGGAATTTTATTGTTTTGGTTTTTAGATTTTCCTCCTTTATTTATTATTTGAATTTGTTGTAACCTATATATCCTGGAGAATGCATACTCCTACCTAACTATGTGAAGACAGAATTAAATTGGTCAACAATAAATCAATCACAACTCTCAAAACTTTCAGAACCATATTAGTTTTTTTTTACTTATACAGAGCACCACTTGGTTTCCGAACTTTAGTTATCTGAAACTTCCAGTTTCCCGATTGGGGTTGGGGAGTCATGCTACCCGAACAAAGTTCAGGTAGGAAGGGGTCCGCCAAGCGTCACGCCGGCCTGTGGTGGTGGGTGAGAGATGGTCCAGTTTGCCCACTGTGACTTCACAGATTCACGGCCTATTATTCCTATTATTTTGAATTGTCATAAGGCTGGAATGTTCATTCTGAGCTTTTGTTTTACTTATCTGCACAATCAAAAAACATCTGTGCACCATGTCGGCTCCAAATGCACGCATTGTGTCAGTGATGGCTGACTGGTGGGTGGATGGATGGGGGAGCTTAGGTGGGAGGCAGTATGAGCGAGAGGGGAAGAATCAGTGAGAGAGGGGGAGAATTAGTCAGAGAGGGAGGGAAGGGGGAGGTAGGGAGAGATGCTAGGAGGTAGGCAGGAAGGGAGGGAAGTAGCAGGCATACCTGCTTGATACCTGCTTGATGGGGTTGGGGTTCTGGGAGTTCTTCTTCTCCCCAAGCCTGGCCCGAGGCTAGGCTCGACTTGTGAGAGTTTGGTCCACCAGGCTGTTGCTTGGAGCGGCCCACAGGACCACATACCCACCACAGCCCGGCTGATCCAAAACTTCTCTTAGAAAACAGTCCAGTTTTCTCTTGAAGATGTCCACGGTTGTTCCTGCAATATTTCTTATAGCCGCTGGGAGGACGTTGAACAACCGCGGACCTATGATGTTTATACAGTGTTCTCTGATTGTGCCTATGGCACCTCTGCTCTTCACTGGTTCAATCTTGCATTTTCTTCCACATCGTTCACTCCAATACGTTGTTATTTTACTGTGTAGATTTGGGACCTGACCCTCCAGTATTTTTCATGTGTATATTATTTGTTATCTCTCTCGTCTCCTTTCTAGAGAGTACATTTAGAGCTTTGAGACGATCCCAATAATTTAGGTGCTTCATCGCGCCTATGCGTGCCGTTTATGTTCTCTGTATTCTCTCTATTTCAGCAATCTCTCCTGCTCTCAAGGGGGAAGTGAGTACTGAGCAGTACTCAAGACGGGAAAACACAAGTGACTTGAAGAGTACAGCCATTGTGATGGGATCCCTGGATTTGAAAGTTCTCGTAATCCATCCGATCATTTTCCTGGCTGACGCGATATTTGCTTGGTTATGCTCCCTAAACGTTAGATCGTCAGACATCATTATTCCCAAATCCTTGACATGCTGTTTTTCTACTATGGGAAGATTCGATTGTGTTTTGTACCCTGTATTATGTTTCAGATCCTCATTTTTGCCGTACCTGAGTACCTGAAATTTATCACTGTTAAACATCATGTTATTTTCTGCTGCCCAATCGAAAACTTTGTTGACATCTGCTTGTAGTTTTTCAATGTCTTCAGCAAAGGTAATTTTCATGCTGATTTTTGTGTCATCTGCAAAGGACGACACGAAGCTGTGACGTGTATTTTTGTCTATATCAGATATGAGAATAAGGAACAGTAGCGATGCAAGGACTGTACCATGAAGTACAGAGCTTTTAACATCGCTTGGACTCGATTTTATCTGATTGACTGTTACTCTTTGTGTTCTGTTCAACAAGAAATTGAGTATCCAGCATCCTACTTATCCAGTTATTCCCATTGACCTTATTTTGTGAGCTATCACCCCATGGTCACATTTGTCGAACACCTTTGCAAAGTCTGTGTATACAACTTCTGCATTTTGCTTTTCTTCTAGGGCTTCTGTGATTTTGTCATAGTGGTTGAGTAACTGTGACAGACAGGATCTTCCCGCTCTAAATCCATGTTGTCCTGGATTGTGCAATTCATTGTTTTCCATAAAACTAGAAATTTGATTCCTAATCACTCTTTCAAACACTTTTATTATGTGTGATGTTAGTGCAACTGGCCTATAATTTTTTGCCAAGGTTTTACTTTCCCCCTTGTGCAAAGGAGCTATATCTGCAGATTTAAGTGCTGCTGGTATCTCCCCTGTATCCAGGCTCTTTCTCCATATTACACTGAGTGCTCTCGCTACTGGTACTTTACATTTTTTTATGAATATTGAATTCCATGAGTCAGGCCCAGGAGCTGAGTGCATAGGCATATTGTCAATTTCTCTTTCAAAGTCTTCCGAGTTTGTGGTAATATCCATTATATTATCTGCAGCTTGAATGTCATTCATAAAGAAGCTGTCTGGGTCATCAACTTTCATGTTGTTTATTGGTGTGCTAAACATAGCCTCATACTGGCTTCTTAGAATTTCACTAATCTCTTTGTTGTCCTCTGTGTACGTACCTTCATTTGTAATTAACGGTCTAATACTGGTCGAGGTTTTTTATTTTGATTTTGCGTATGTGAAAAAATATTTCGGATTTTTCCTTATCTCTTGTATAGCTCTCTGTTCCAATTCCATTTCCTCAGACTCATATGATCACTTCAACGTTTGTTCTATTTCTTTGATCTCCCTGCTTAGGCTTATTTTCCTTGCTTGTGATACAGTAGTTGTGTCTGCCGAAGCATTTCCGTTATTTTTTTCCTTCTCCTGTACAGTCGTCTGCGTTCTCTTTCTAGAGTGGTCCTCTTTCTGCCCCTCCTCACAGGCACGTGCTTCAAGCAGACCTTGTAAGCTTCAGCTGTCAGTTGAGCTATTCCCTATGTGGGAGTTTTGTCGCTTAAGACTGTCTCCCATTGAATGGTTGCAAGGTCTACATTTATTTTCTCCCAGTCAATCCTCTTATTGTTGAAATTGAATTGATTGAATATTCTTTCTTGCTTGTTGGGTCTCTTAGACCTACTACCGTTATTTATGCTAGTTCGCACTTCAATGAGCTTATGGTCTGAGTATGAAGTATCTGAGATTGTTATGTCTCTGATTAGTTCATCATTGTTTGTGAATAACAAGTCTAGTGTGTTTTCGTTCCTAGTTGGTTCTGTAATCTGTTGATTGAGCGAGAATTTGAGGCAGGCACGCAGGCAGGCTGGCAGGCTGGCAGGCTGGCAGGCTGGCAGGCTGACTGGCTGGCTGGCTGGCTGGCTGGCTGGCTGGCTGGCTGGCTGGCTGGCTGGCTGGCTGGCTGGCTGGCTGGCTGGCTGGCTGGCTGGCAGGCAGGAAGGCCAGCTGGCAGGCAGGCAGGAAGGCCAGCTGGCAGGGAGGCAGGAAGGCCAGCTGGCAGGCAGGCAGGAAGGCAAGCTGGCAGGCAGGCAGGAAGGCCAGCTGGCAGGCAGGCAGGAAGGCCAGCTGGCAGGCAGGCAGGCAGGCTGGGAAGGAGGCAGGCAGGCAGGCTGGGAAGGAGGCAGGCAGGCTGGCTGGCTGCCTGGCTTGCTGGCAGGCAGACAGGCAGGCAGGCTGACTGGTTGGCAGGCAGGAATGCCAGCTGGCAGGCAGGCAGGTAGGCTGGGAAGGAGGCAGGCAGGTAGGCTGGCAAGCAGGCAGGGGAGGAAGGGAGGGGTAGTCATGCGGTTGTCAGTGGGGGGGGGGGGAGAGACCGGCTCACACCCGAAGATATGCCTAACACACTCGACCCGTTAGCATGATGGCAGGGAGAGAGTGAGGCCGGCTGGCTGGCAGGCTGGCTGGCAAGATGTTCCTGCAGGCTGGCTGGCAGGATGTTCCTGCAGGCTGGCTGGCAGGATGTTCCTGCAGGCTGGCCGGCAGGATGTTCCTGCAGGCTGGGTGGCAGGATGTTCCTGCAGGCTGGCTGGCTGGCAGGATGTGCCTGCAGGCTGGCTGGCAGGATGTTCCTGCAGGCTGGCTGGCAGGATGTGCCTGCAGGCTGGCTGGCAGGATGTGCCTGCAGGCTGGCTGGCAGGATGTTCCTGCAGGCTGGCTGGTAGGATGTTCCTGCAGGCTGGCTGGCAGGATGTGCCTGCAGGCTGGCTGGCAGGATGTGCCTGCAGGCTGGCTGGCAGGATGTGCCCGCAGGCTGGCTGGCAGGATGTTCCTGCAGACTGGCCGGCAGGATGTTCCTGCAGGCTGGGTGGCAGGATGTTCCTGCAGGCTGGCTGGCTGGCAGGATGTGCCTGCAGGCTGGCTGGCAGGATGTTCCTGCAGGCTGGCTGGCAGGATGTGCCTGCAGGCTGGCTGGCAGGATGTTCCTGCAGGCTGGCTGGCAGGATGTTCCTGCAGGCTGGCTGGCAGGATGTTCCTGCAGGCTGGCTGGCAGGATGTTCCTGCAGGCTGGCTGGCAGGATGTGCCTGCAGGCTGGCTGGCAGGATGTGCCTGCAGGCTGGCTGGCAGGATGTTCCTGCAGGCTGGCTGGTAGGATGTGCCTGCAGGCTGGCTGGCAGGATGTGCCTGCAGGCTGGCTGGCAGGATGTGCCTGCAGGCTGGCTGGCAGGATGTGCCTGCAGGTTGGCTGGCAGGATGTGCCCGCAGGTTGGCTGGCAGGATGTGCCTGCAGGCTGGCTGGCAGGATGTGCCCGCAGGTTGGCTGGCAGGATGTGCCTGCAGGCTGGCTGGCAGGATGTGCCCGCAGGTTGGCTGGCAGGATGTGCCCGCAGGCTGGCTGGCAGGATGTGCCTGCAGGCTGGCAGGCAGGATGTGCCTGCAGGTTGGCTGGCAGGATGTGCCCGCAGGCTGGCTGGCAGGATGTGCCTGCAGGCTGGCTGGCAGGATGTGCCTGCAGGCTGGCTGGCAGGATGTGCCTGCAGGTTGGCAGGATGTTCCTGCAGGCTGGCTGGCAGGATGTGCCTGCAGGCTGGCTGGCAGGATGTGCCTGCAGGCTGGCTGGCAGGATGTACCTGCAGGTTGGCAGGATGTTCCTGCAGGCTGGCAGGATGTTCCTGCAGGCTTGCTGGCAGGATGTACCTGCAGGCAGGCAGGATGTGCCTGCAGGCTGGCAGGATGTGCCTGCAGGCTGGCTGGCAGGATGTGCCTGCAGGCTGGCTGGCAGGATGTACCTGCAGTCAGGCAGGATGTGCCTGCAGGCTGGCAGGATGTGCCTGCAGGCTGGCAGGATGTTCCTGCAGGCTGGCAGGAAACATCCAGAGGATGTTTGCCAGACGTCTTAATGATCAGTTAGGAACAATTAAGGACTTTTATAAAGTGGATCAGGAGTTCACTTATTGGTGAGTACAAACAAAATACGGTCGCATTTACGCTATGAACCTGTCGATTTTTTCCCCTAGAGTTTTTTCATAAATTTTTCGGAACTATTTCTTTTTTACATTTCTAGTTTATTTTTTCCCTCTATTTCTCGTTTACGAACTTACATGTTAACCGACAAGTCTCGTCCCCAAGGGGTTCGGAAATCAAGTGGTGCTCTGTATAAAGTATACCCTAAATATATCCCCTAAATCATTGCAATTATTATAAGTATCCCTATTTTTTTTTTGGGGGGGGGGGGGGGGTTACTTCATTTAAACACATAGTGACCTACAACTTTCACATATTTGAGTACAAATGCCAAACAATGTTTATTAAAACATACAAGTAAATTCTTGAATTAGAACTGCCTTATTCATTGTTGATAATTTACACTTCAATTATATCTGTAATTAGAATTTCAACTTACTTCAATATCCAAAAATCTAGTTTCTGAGCAATTCTCACCATTTTTACATATAGTGTGCACAGCTGTCTGTTCTATAATCCCTATAGAATAGATTTTTCCTAAACTTTAAACGTTTGGAGATATAAATTTTTGTTGTCTAAATTTGCGCATATTTCAAATGCCATATTGACAAATATTTCATTACAGCAAACTATACTGAAAACCTAAACTCTAAATATATAAAAGTGAAGATCATATACTTTTCTGAGAGCATAATAACACAAAATGAACAGTTGGTGGAATTTTGTATTTTTGCAGAGGATTTCAAAATCTGAAGTTTTTAATATTCAATTTTATAATTATTTTTTATTTTTTTTTGTTTTTCAAGTTACTCTGGTATCATTTAGACAAAGTTGAAGCATATGCCTAGTAGATTATGCACAAAACATTTGAAAGAGTTTCAGAAAATTTAAAAAACTGAGCTCAATGTCACACATTATATGAGGTTTTACGCAGTTTAAGGGTAAAGCGATAAGGTGATGGAGGCCAAAACCATCAGTAGTTTCAAAGCGTAATATGACAAAGAGTACTGAAGAAGACGGGGACATCACGAGCATAGCTTTCATCCTATACTACCCTTAGGTAATTACACTTAGGTAATTACTTGAATGTTGACAGATGTAATTTGAATGACAGGTATAAAATGCAAGGAGGCAGGGCATTAAGAGCTAGATCTCACTCCCTTGTAATTACTGATAGGTAAGCACCAACAGAACAGCACATATTGCCCACACAAAATTTTATCCCACACATATTCCTGCCTAATATCCCATTACAATTTCCACTCCCCCCCCCCCCATACAAGCTTCTGCCTCCCTTCCCACATCAACATTACATAACAGTCATGACATGTATAATCTCTCCTCAATACGTTCACTATGGGGATTCTGAACAAGGAGTTAATAATATTAAAGAGCACCACTTAAATCAATGAATATTTACCTGGGAATGGTGGCCCACGAGTTGGCGGTGGCCCAGGAGGAGGACCCTGAAAGTTGGCAGGACCACCTGTCATTGGTGGAGGATAACGTGTTGGTAGATTTGATGGCGGTGGAGGTCCGCTAGTGGGAACAGGGGGTGGTCCACCATTGATGGTTGGTGGTGCAGTAGTTGGTGGTGGAATTGAAGTAGGTGGAGGCACAGTTCCAGTGGGCATTAAGGGTTCCACCCCTTCTCGCCCTCCATGAAGAATCTGAACAGCTGTCTTCGGATCAATGATCCTCATGACTACCTATATGAATTAATTAATAATTACGTAAGCACTATAGAAAACTAATGTCTCAGCAGTAAATGTCTAAGACAGAGATAAGTTGAATGAAACAAAGCATAATTAGTTTTAACTCTCTGAATGTACAGTAGTGTCTTGTGTTCATTCATCCCCCTTTCCATGCCCCCATCCCCATTATAATATCTGCTGATTAATCATGCTATGAAGTGTCAAAACAGGAAAAAGAATGACAAAAGTACAGTATTTTCAATCCAGCCCTTTATGAAAACCAAACGGTACATTTCTCTACTAAAAACCAGTGTCGAATGTAATGAAATGCCATTTTCTGGGTAAGCCCCGGAGGCTTCCTGAAGCTATCCGAACTGATAGTGTTATATTAGTTTGGGGTCATCAGTCACAGGAGTTCTTCTGCCTACCACGGACCATGAGCCAGAACCTGGTCCCCTCAGAGAGGCGCAGGGAGCAATGGCTTATGAGCACTTTATATTTAAATTATGTCATAATTGCCATCGACCGAGGAAGCTCCCGGAAAGGTAGGCGAATCAAAACAGGCCACTGTCTGGTTACACTATGCAATCTACATCCTAAAAGATCAAAATATCTTCCCCACAAAAAAACCAGCGTTGAATGTAATGAAACGCCATTTTCTGGGTGAGTCCCGGAGGCTCCCCGGAGCTATCCCAGGCTGATATGCTAATGTCAGACTTTGGCATCAGTCATGTGTATGGAGTTCTTAGGCCTACCGGGGACCACAGCCAGAACCGGGCCCCCTCAGAGAGGCAAGGGGAGCAATGGCCTATAGAAGCCCCCGTGTAGTTGGAAGCATTCTATGTCTGCCATCGACCGGAACAGGCACCCAGAAAGGTAAGCGCCCCAAAACAAACCCCTATTCTGGTTAAAATTGCTACCTAAAACCGAACTAGTGGATAGAACTCCCCAACCGAAAACAAGCAAACTAGTGTGACGTCACACACTGCCTCGCCGCTGTCTGCGCAGCTACCCCCTCCCCGGGAGGGGGAAGGGGGAGCCCCAGACCCCCCGCGCCGGCTACCCACACCTCAGTTCTTGAGGCTGGATGTCAAAAACGCGAAAAACCGCCGACCGGAGGGAGGGAGGGATGCCGGGGAGCCTCCGGGACTCACCCAGAAAATGGCGTTTCATTACATTCAACGCTGGTTTTCTGGGGGGAGCCCCGTCGGCTCCCCGGAGCTAACTACCCACAGACAGAAAAAGAGGGACTTACCCGGGAGGCGGTCGTCGCTCACCCCTCAACTCGAAGCCGAGACAACTGGCTGCAACCGCCGACCCAAAGCAACACAGGCCCGACGAGGCCCAGGGACATTCACAAGGTAACGAGCAGCCAGGACCCTGTTCGACCGCCAAAATCCCCGCGCCCGAATATCAGACCAAGACATATTACCAAAGACGGCAGCAAGAGCCGCGAACTTACGAACGTCATGGGCACGTTGCAACCAACCGAGCGCGTTGCAACAGACGAAACCTAGACTGCAACGCACGTGCCGCCCGTACCCGAATAGAATCATCAGAGGATTGGGTAAATTGAGTCACAAGCAAGCAGCAACACTCACAGGACTCAGGGTCGAAAGTATCACCGACCCAACAGGCAGCGTGGCAGAGGCAAAAACAATGAGGGTCACCCTGAGACAAGGGGACCGAGCAACCCTCAAACTCGCACACAGCGAGTGGGGACTCCGGGGTCACATCCATCGGACCCACGCGCCCCCTAGGGGATTCCCAGGGTCCTGAGCGTTTACTTTAAGAGGACTCGCGCTCAGGTAGTCCCAGGCAGGGTGCTGCAAACCGGCGCCCAAAACTACCAAGCAAACTTCTAAAGCTGAACCCCAGGGACGTGTACACTCACGGGGACCTAGCAGGGGGCGCCACCGAGGAGAACAGTGGAAAGGCAAAAACAAACTGAATAAAATGACAGAACCCCCCACCAGGCAAAAAGAAAAAGAAAAACAAAACCCCGCAAGAGGACAGCGAACCCCAAGGAACAGAGCCGGCCGCGATGTCGGGAAATACAAGCTGAGCAGCACCCTGCGCCCCTACCAGTGCAAACTGCCTCTTACCTGCCGGTAACAAGGGAGAACAGAACACCCAAGAGCCCAACAGGCGGCCGAAAAACCGAAAGGTAAAACGGACCAGCAGAGGCAGACCCCGAGGAGCCTGTGGAAGGTGGCCCCAAGCCCCAAGGGCAGTACCTACAGGGCACCTAGGGAAGGCAGCCCTAGGCGCATGCAGCCCGAGTACTGAAGATAATTCCTGGCTCTCGCACCCACAAAACTAACACCACACGCAAAGCACAGTGCAGTAGCGACACCGGAGCCAGAGCACACGACCATCGCCTATAGCATCAGCCTCAAGAACTGAGGTGTGGGTAGCCGGCGCGGGGGGTCTGGGGCTCCCCCTTCCCCCTCCCGGGGAGGGGGGAGCTGAGCTGCGGCGCGGCAGTGTGTGACGTCACACTAGTTTGCTTGTTTTCGGTTGGGGAGTTCTATCCACTAGTTCGGTTTTAGGTAGCAATTTTAACCAGAATAGGGGTTTGTTTTGGGGCGCTTACCTTTCTGGGTGCCTGTTCCGGTCGATGGCAGACATAGAATGCTTCCAACTACACGGGGGCTTCTATAGGCCATTGCTCCCCTTGCCTCTCTGAGGGGGCCCGGTTCTGGCCGTGGTCCCCGGTAGGCCTAAGAACTCCATACACATGACTGATGCCAAAGTCTGACATTAGCATATCAGCCTGGGATAGCTCCGGGGAGCCGACGGGGCTCCCCCCAGAAAAGCACACGAGAGAGCTTGCGAAATGGATCGGAAGAGACAACCACCCCAGATGACAGCTGCAGTGGCTCTGCCAACGCCGCACGATAAGAAGCGACAGTATGAGGCATGAGATGCCGATCCAGAAAAAGTCAAGAAAAAACCAGTGTTGAATGTAATGAAACGCCATTTTCTGGATGAGACCCGGTGGCTCCCCGGAGCTATGCTGGACTGATATGTATATATTAGACTGTGGCAACAGTCAATCGAAGGAGTTCTAAGCTTACCAGGGCCCAGAGCCAGAACCTGGCACCTTCAAGAGAGGCACGAGGAGCAATGGCCTAAAGACACCCCAGTGTAAGTGGAAGCAGTCTTTGTCTGCCATCTACCAGGTCAGGCACCCAGAATGGTAGGAATTTCAAAACAAACTACTGCTGGTCAAAAAATTGCAAACCGAAAGCCGAACTAGCAAACAGAACTTCCCAATCAAAAACAAGGAAACAAACATGAAGTCACCACAATCGTCGCGCAACCCCCCCCACCTTCCCAGAAAGGGGACCAGGGGGGGGGGGGAGGGGTCCCAGACCTCCACGCCAGCAACTCTCCTCAGTTCAGAGGCAGAGTATCAAAAACGAGAAAAACAGTCGACCAGAGGGAGGGATGCCGAGAAACCTCCGGGTCTCACCCAGAAAATGGCGTTTCATTACATTCAACACTGGTTTTCTGTGGAGAGCCCCTTTGGCTCCCCGGAGCTACCTAACCAAAGATAAGAAGAAAAGAGACTCACCCGGGAGGTGGTTGTCACTTGCTCCTCAACTCAAAGTCAAGACAACAGGCTGCAACCTACGACCCAAGGCTATACAAGCCCGAGAAGGACTAGGAACATTAACAAGGTAACGTGCAGCCAGGACCCTGTTCGACCTCCAAAAGCCCCGTGCCCAAAAGATAGGCCAGGACATTACCAAAACAGCAGCAAAATGCCAAATTTACACACGGCGTGGGAATGGGGAAAGACCGCAGGCTGGCTGGACCGAATAATCCTGAGAACAACCTGGGAGACACGTGCCATGGAATACGGAAGAAGGGAAACTGGGTCAACCCAAAGCGCGTCCTCTGCCACAGAGGACGAAGATCGAACCAGTCAAGTACCGGAATATACCGATTTGCTGAAAGAGGCGAAGCCACAGGAAGACCCTCGGGTTCGGACATCGAGCAAGAACCAAATCCAAATCATGCACAGAAGGAGAAAAGGAAAATCCCTCTCCTTGTAACAGTAAGCCCTGTTCTAAGGGCTGAAAACCCAGGCAGGGTCCAACAGGGCCCAAGGGCCCCCAAGTCAGCCTCTCCCCAGTCCCGGGATCCTTCACATCCAGACCCAGGGCCGAGTCATCTCCCAAAGCACCGGCACAGCCGTAAAAGTTGGAGGGAAGGAGGCCCACAGGTCAGACCCAGAGGCTTTAGCAGGGAGAGCAGACTCGAATGCCTCCTACGCCACACCGAAAGGGGAATCCCCCAAAACTGTCCAAGTCTCAAAACCGTCTAAACCCTGCTCCAATTCGGAAACCCTAAGACGTTTCGGAGCCAGAAGCAAGGGGGCGGGGTGAAGAGGACCAGACCAAACCATGGTAGGGGAAGGACGAGGGGGCGCAGATGAAACCAAGGCTGAAGCGACCATCACCCCCCAAAGTCCGGGTCCCTATAAGCAAAATGGGGCAGCCTCGGGGCATTCGACGAAGCAACCAACCTAAACCTAACATGCAATGCTTGCGTAGCCTGTACCCAAATAAAGTCATCACTAGACTGAATAAACTGAGTCACCAGCAAGCAACAAAACTCGCAGGACTCCGGGTTGAAGCTATCGCCGACCCAAAAGGCAAGGCAGCGTGACGGAGTCAAAAACAATGAGAGTCACCCTGAGGCAAGGGGACAGAGCAATCCTCGAACTCGCAAAAAGCGAGGGGGAACTCAGGGAACACATCCATTGGACACACGCATCTTCTTCGGGATTCCCAGGGTCTTGAGACGGAACTCACGCTCAGGGAAGCCCAGGCAGGGTACTGCTAACCGGAGCCCAATCTACCAAACGACACACGAAGAGCTGAACCCCCGGGACGTGTACACTCACGGGGACCTAGCAGGGGAAACCACCTGAATAGAATGTAGTACCCAGACACCGCACTCAGGGGCAACCAAGGCTGGCTCCCCCACCAGGCAGAAATTTATGCGTAGAATTGATACCTGTTTGATGGGGTTCTGGGAGTTCTTCTACTCCCCAAGCCCGGCCTGAGGCCAGGCTCGATTTGTGAGAGTCTGGTCCACCAGGCTGTTGCTTGGAGCGGCCCACAGGGACATCGTACCCACCACAGCCCGGCTGATCCGGAACTTCTCTTAGAAAACCGTCCAGTTTCCTCTTGACGATATCCACGGTTGTTCCGGCAATATTTCTTATAGTCGCTAGGAGGACGTTGAACAGCCACGGACCTCTGATGTTTATACAGTGAGAAGCCGGCCTGATGGCGACCTGTGTGATTCCGGCACTGCCCTCCTTTCTTTTCTTGGCTCCCTTCCCCCTGATCGAGTTTGGATTAGTGGGTTCCTCCATAAATTCGAGGTGTACATTCTCCGTCCCACTCAGTGCTTTCATTGTAAGGGTTTTCACCATACCTCCCATGGCTGCACCAATGACATCTGTTGTGGCAAATGCTCTGATTTCCATTTCACTCGTGACTGTGAGTCCGACAAGCTCTGTTGCCCCAACTGTGTTGGTGATCATGCCATCATTTTCAAGCAGTGTCCTTCCTACGTTGCTGCGCTCACCACGGCTCTTCATGTCGTCACTCCGCCCTCCAGTCATGCTTTGCCTCATCCTGCCCCGGTTCCTTGCCACCGCTTCCCCCTCCGCCGCCGCCTTTGCCTGTGACTGACCCGTTTGTCACTAACATCTGAGGCTTCTTCTCTCCCACCTGCCATTCAACTGATTTCTGATCTAGTTGACACTATTGTTGCTCGCATTGTGGATGCACTCGAGACGGTGCTGGTCTCTGCACATCTCTGCCCCCGGTACTAAGCGGAAGCAGTCCTCCGTCGTCCCGATTTCCAAGCTCCCTGCCACCTTGCCTGATGGGCCTCTTACATCGCGTTCTCCCACGACTTGTCCTCATGCCCTTCCTACATCTTCCTCTCATTGTCCTGTTGGCGTTTCTGCTGAGTCCGATGCGTTAGCGTCCCAGTCGTGAGGCTCCGGATGCCTCACGGATGATCAAGAACATGCCATCTACTTACCTTGCCCTGTCCTAACCTTGCCTGTCCCGTCTTCACTTCCACTACCCTTCTACATATTCGCACTTGCCTCCTTCACATCCTTTGCCCTCGCCCTTCGTCTCTTGCCTTTATCCCTCGCTTTCTTTACTGAGACAACGTTTTGCGTTCACCTTCTGTTTTCTTTATTTCCATCCTATGTTCCTTTCCTCTTGTTTATTTTGCCTTTATCCTTGTCTGCCTTGATGGCATCGTTATCTTTTTTACTCGGGCACGTCATGCCCGTTGATGTTTTGTGCATTGTCATATATGCATCTTTCTACATTACCACTCGTGCAGTCATCAGGAGGATTTACCTTCACGCAAACTGCACGTATTGCGAAGAAGAACCCTGAAACGCAAGGATAGTACTTACGGAGCACCTAAGAAAGGAGACCCTAAGTTACCTTGAACACTAACACACCAGGCCACCACACCATACACACAGCTAGAACAGCTACACAGGGCAAAAATCCAGAACAGGAAATAGAGACCTGAGGTGACCATCCAACCACTCCTGTTCAAGAACTGGAGTGGTGGGCTGCTGGCTACCCCTTCCCCCTTTGAGGGGGGGGGGACCCACTGGTCAGACCCAGAAGCACTGGCTGGAGGAAAAGGCTCGAATGCCACCATCGTCACACCGGAAGGGACATCCTCCGAAACTGCCTGAGTCTCACCACCAACTAAACCATGCCCTGACTCCGAAACCCTCAGTTGCCTTGGTGCCAGAAGCAGGGGGAGGAGGATCAGGACAAACAACAGCAGAAGGACAAGGGGGCACGGACGAAACCAAAGTCGAGGCGACTATAACCCCCAAGTCCAAGTCCCTATAACCAAAACGGGGCACTCCTGAGGCATCCGGGTGAACAACCAACCTAGCGCACTGCAGCAACCTAAAACGCGCATGCAACGCCAAAGCTGCCTGTACCCGAATATCAATCAATAACAGTGGATTGGGTAAACTGGAGTATAAGCAAGCAACACCACTCGCAGGATTCCGGGTTGAAGGTGTTACCGACCCAACAGGCAGCACGACGGAGGCACATCCCGTGATTGTCACCCCCTAGACAAGGGAACAGAGAAACCTTCAAACTCATACGAAGTGAGATGGGACCCAGGGGATGCATCCATTGGACCACTGAGCCCCAGCAGGGGTTTCCAGGGCCCTTAGATGTTCTGCTAAGGGAAGCCCAGGCAAGGTACTGCTAACCGGCGCCCCAAACAACCAGACGAGCTGCTGAAAGCTGAACCCCCCAGGACGTGTACACTCGTGGGGGACTTAGTGGAGGACCACCAATATATATATAAGAGGTACCAACACCAAGGGGCAGACCCCCACACCAGGCAGGAAAAAGAAAAAGTAAAACCCCACAAGAGCACAAAGATCCAGGCGGAACAGAGCCGGCCACTGTATTATGGTGAAGAACAGCTGCACAGTACCTTGTGCCCCTACCAGTGATGAAAACTACCTACCCAGACACAAACAGTGGTGCATGAAACACCCCAGCTGACCCCAAGGGCAGGCAATCACTGAGCAGCAAAAGACTCCATGGAGGTAGACCCCAAGCGACTTGTGGAAGAGAACCCCAAGCCACAAGGGCAGTACTTACAGGGCACCTAGGGAAGATAACCCTAGGTGCATGCAGCCCAAGTACAGTATTTGGGAAATTACTCCTGGAACATGATGTTGTGACGTCATGTCACAACGCCGAATGTCTTGCAAAGCCACAAGGAGGCAACGGCATTAACAGTCCACGTTGTTGTAATGTGAAGGAACCGGGACAGACTGTCTGTGAGGACATTCGACATGCCTTGGACATGAAAGGCATAGAAAACCAAACTTGAGAACCCAGCAGAAGAGATACACATGTCATCCAGCTGCAAAGAGGCAGGGACCAACACAAACTTCCCACTCTGTTGAGACAATGAAACACGGGGAACTGGCTCGAATGGACCCAGATCACAGCCCCAAGAAATCCAAACTCTCTGCAGTGCATGCTACATGGCTGCAAGCTCCCGACCCGTATTGTGTGCCTGACACAGGAGTGGAGACCAATGACCCTAGTCAGCCTGGGAGCCAAGGCACAACCAGAAAGACACATTCTATTACATTTGATGCTGAGTTTTTGCGTTATATATTATGAGTTCCTTGACTGTGTCTTGTCATTCTAACACTTAAATGCCCTTAAATATTTAGATCCTGGAATGCAGCACCACACTGTATGTATGTCCTCCCACAAACATTTAACCAGCCGAGAATACTTCTAAAAATTAAGATCCTACATGACTCGTATTTTGACTAAATACGTATATTACAAATAGAAGTACTGCACAGTATAGTATGCCTACTGTGTTCATAATGCCAACAATGCTCGTGTTGCACACAAGAACCAGGAACAACACCTCATTAGCTTCAGAGATGCTAAACTCTTCACCAGAGAACATAACATTAGGAGACAGCATATAGATTCTAGAGCCATCAAGCATAACACCAGTGAATAGAATGAAATAAAATTTAACATTGGTGGCCCACTTGCTGAATTATGTTTCTGAAATAGAAATTTGCATCGCATAATTTTTCATGTCTCTCACCTTCACTTCATGGATCTCACTCTAACCCATTTTCCCCTCTTATTAGTACTTGCCCTGTGTTTCTCTTTTATATTTTATAATGCCCTTAGCAGTTTGTGTTCTCTACAGCCATTCAGATTATAACTTCAATGCAGATATTTAAATTTTGTTATGTTTAACTCTGAGCACATAATGTCTTAACATTACAGTTTATTACCTGAGCTTGGAGGAGAGCATATGCAAGCTGAGGATTGTTCATAAGCATGGTACGAGCTTCAGTAGGGTTATTACGAACGCACAGCTTCATTTGACGCATCAACTCGTACATTTGTTCAGGAGGGAGAGATGCTACTGCATTACTGATTGCCTCTGGTGCTTTGCTGGGCTCAACTTCAGAACCATACGGAGATTCCACAACTGGACCCATCATTAAACCTGAAAACAAGTCATAATTAAATTTAACTAGGTATAGCACAATTGCATGCAAATAATCAAGACAGGCATACTGAGGCAAGCATGTCTTAGAATACAAACTGGGTGGTATAATGAGCACAGTACATATATTGGTTAATGGCTAATGCAATAAACCAGTGATGAATGTAATGAAACGGCATTTTTTTGGAGAGACCCGGAGACTCCCCGGAGGTATCCAGGCTGATATGAATGTGTTAGACCCTGGCATCAGTCATGTGAATGGAGTCCTTAGGCCTACTAGGGACAATGAGCCAGAACCTGGCCCCCTCAGAGAGGCATGAGGAACAATGGCCTATAAAAAAAAAAACAAGTGGTTGGAGGCATTTCATGTCTGCCATCGCCCGGGTCAGGCACCCAGAGAGGTAAGTATCCCAAAACAAACCCTATCTGGTTAAAAAAAAAAATTGCTACTGAAAGCCAAACTGTTGGACAGAATTCCCCAAACGAAAAACAAGCAATCGAGCATGACATCACAACCGTCACCTCGCCGCCATCTGCACAGCTCCCCCCACCCCGGGAGGGGGAAGGGAGAGCCCCAGCCCCCCCCCCTCGTGCCGGCAATCTACCCTTCAGTTCTGAAGCTGGATGTCAAAACTCGCGAAAAAACGCCAACAGGAGGGAGGGAGGGAGGGAGGGAGGGTTGCCAGGGAGCCTCCGGGTCTCACCCAGAAAATGGCGTTTCATTACGTACAACGCTGGTTCGGCTCCCAAGAGCTGCTTACCCAAAGATAAAACAGGATGGACTTACCCGGGAGGAGATCGCCACTCACTCCTCAACTCGAAATCGTGAAAACTGGTTGCAAACACCGACCCATGCGACACATGCCCAAACTAGGGCCAGGAAAATTGACCAGGTAGCGATTAGTCAGGACCCTGTTCGACCTCCAAAAACCCCCGTGGCTAAATGTCAGACTAAGACATGTTACCAAAGACGGCAGCCAATGCAGCAAACTTATGAACATCATGAACATGAGGAGAGACCACAGGCTGGCTGGACTGAATAACCCTACGGCCAATCTGGGAGACCTGAACCTTGGAACAGGAAAGAAGGGAAACCGAGTCAACGCAAAGCGCGTCCCCAGCCACCAAGGACGTGGCGCGCAGATAACAGTGAAGAGCCGCAACCGGACACAACACATGATACACCCCCTGGTTGAACCAACCAAGCATCAACAACCCAAGGACCCCTCCGGAAAGCAAGTCTCATTCTTCACCAGAAAAGAAGGAAATGGCTGCAAATGAACACACTTACCACAGGGACCAAAGGAGCAGAAACCTCTTCTCTGCATCATGAGAAGAGCATGAAGCTCCCTAACCCGACCCCCTGAGGCCAATGCGAAAAAAAAAAAGCCTTTGCAAAACAATCTTGAACCAAAAGGGGGCCCCAACAAACTGAGAAGAGAGAAAAGAGAGCACCCGGTCCAACAACCAGAACAGCCCAGACGTTGTATGAGCAGGCCAGAGGTGAAACAACACACGAGACAGCTTGCGGAACAGAGCAGAAGTAACATCCACCCTAAATGCAAGCTGAAGCAGCTTCCAGCACCGCATGATACAAGGCGACAGTATTTGGCAAAGATTACGGTCCTGAAACAACCACGAAAGGAAGGACAAGAACACCCAATCCGAAATAGAAGAGAACCTACAGAGGGACAAGAAATAACGAAAGGACTGCCAGGAAGCTTCATACTGGCACTGAGACGAAGCACGAAGATGGGTCACCATCAACGAAGCCTCCTGCTCACAATACAAGTGGTGATAGACCCGCATCAGAAAGACCAGATGCGAAGACTTGAGGAGAAAGTCGAACCAGCCACGTAACGGACTGGTCTGATCTTCTGAAAGAGGCAGAGCCGCAGGAAGACCCCCGGGTTCGGACACCAAGCAAGCAGCATCTGAAATCAAGGCTGGGCTGGCCACCAAGGGGCCAAAAGGACTACTCTCCATTGGTAAGTCTCCAAACGAGTTAGGACCTGGAGCAACAGCGAATCTGGGGGAAAGATGTATAGGTAACCTCACCTCGACCAGTTGTCCTGAAGGCATCGACCACGATGACCTCGCAGTAAGGTAAGGGCGCCACATATATCGAGAGGCGCAGCGACTATGCCGACACGAAGAGGTCTACTTGCAGAAGCCCGTACGTGTTGGATATTTCCAACACCGAATACAACATTGTTGTATTCTCATTACTTATTACTAACCATACTAAATATTGTAGTAAGTAAAATTAACAACTCGTAGAATTCTCATGTACTAATAATTCATCTGTGCATTAGGCTAGAATTCTCACGTCACCTGACGCCAGTATTGCGTCAGATTTCTTTACAGTAAAACACATTATATTCAATTTGTGTGAGAATTAAATACGATTCTCTATAATTAAAGCATTCTGTATGACAACTGATTGCAGACGAATTGTTCTCTAACTAAAAGCCGAATAGAGCGTTAGAATCATAGCGTCTACCTCGCGATAGAGTTAACGTCATCAATGAATGCCATGGGGAGACATTAATTCCTCTCCCTTATATATTTACTATTCTTAAATCGGTAAATAATAATATTTCGTTCCTCTAAATAATAAACCCGTCCAGTCTTTAGAGTTTCAAGCGCGAATGCGAGAAATATTAATGTTCGTGACAATAATTTGTGTTATGAACGTCGACTCGGCGTGGGTTGGAGGGACGCCATCCCCTTCAGTACGTACGCGGACACGTGCAGAGCCGAAAGGAGGCAGAACTGTGCTTACCGTACTCACAAAAGACGCCATTGCCCAGCAAATCGGGCAGGTGTTATCCATCCTCAGATGAAAGCCGCCACTGTGAGGCGTGAACGACCTTGCAGATAATATTTTCAACTAGTGCTGGTGTTAAATGAGGGACCCCTAGACTTGGTTCCTGACGACACGTGATCAGCCAGCTTGAAACGCATCAATCCAGGATAGGTTCACCGGAGCCTGGGATGCGAAATTACGGCAATCTTAATACTTATACAGTGCCCACAGCTAAGTACCCTTTATTTGATGCATCATTTACAGGTTTAATAATAGCGGGGTGATTGTTCGTCACGCGGCGAGATAACACCTAATAACAGGTGATTAGAATTCCATCTGTAGATATCAATAATCTTGAATATGAATTGAGTAGTTAAATCAATTGCTACTGGTAGTTATTTATCTTGCAGCTCGAGAGACGAATTCCTCATGCTGTCTTCTCCATGTTAACCGTGCCATTCGTCAGTGTACCAGACTTGGAGATTAAAAGGACTTCCAGGGTTATCTAAAGGAACCTACTACAAGCTAAGGCTTATTTCTTTTTTATCCATATTCTTGCAATTTGATACATTCAGAATGTTTAATATTAATGTGTGATTTACTGTAACTCATTACTATGCTCATATTCATGTTCTTCTTTATATGAATAATATTATATTCAGCATTATTTATAGGATTAGATTATTATTAATTGAATTAGTGAACGAACCACACTGATTCCTGGACGTACTTACCTCCAGTAATAACCCCCCAATGTAGGTGTTTGAAGTTTGTTTAATAATACAGCTCATTAATTATTCTTATGATCATGCTTTCTAGTTATATCCATAGTCACTGGTTCTCTCTAGAATTTTATCTAATGATCTGAAATTCTCAGTTTCCCTCTTTACTTTAAAAGCGGGTGGTCCTTCGTAATTTAATTTACTAGTTTAATTATTAATTAATCAGAATCAAGCTCAAATATCCCACAGTACGTCCGGCATAGTCAACTGAACGAGTCGGCATCGACCGTCCATTCCGTGGACAGAGAAATGAACCAAGACAGGCCATCCGCCAGAACATTAGATACCCCATGAACGTGAACGAGCCAGGAGAGTCAAACCCCGAGAACTCAGCAGATGAGTCACTCGAAGTGACCAGCCCCAAAGAGCCAAGGATCACATTGAACCCCCACGGTTCTGGCAATGAACCACCAGGGAGCAGTCTGAATGGAGTCGGATCATTGATTCGCGAGTGACCCAAACTCTCCGAAGAAACATTCACACAGCCGCGAACTCCCGTACAGTGCTGTGTGACCGACGGAAGGATGGACCCCACCTCCCCTGGGCAGCCTGGTGAGCACTGGTCACAAAGCCCCAGCTAAGAGACGACTCATCCATGAACACATTGAGTGAGGGCTCGCGTAGGCGCCAAAGAACGGAACCCCAAAAAACCAGAAGAGGAAGCAGGTGACACACAGCAGCCGACGTAAGGCACCCGGAGGACGAACCCAGCGATCGCAAGAGAGGCGGAAGGGACATCCCTGAAGGAACCAGAACATTCAACGAAGCCAAACCTGGACCGGCAGGTAGACCAACACTGCAAAGTTTAGACTCCTGCACAAACCCTCGAGCAATCGCCTCGTGACCCAGGAGCCATCCAGAAACAGCTGGAGGTGGGATAGCAGCTGCAGCAGAGCCTCTGGAGAAAGCGACAAGGAAGTGAGAGTGAGTCCCACACAAGACCTAGCCAGGTCTGAACCTGAGAGGGAACCAGACGGGACTTCCTCTAGTTCACCAAGATCCCAAACCCGGCAAGCTGGGAAAGAACCAAATCCCTTGCGAGCAGCCATGCGGACTGGCTGGGAGCCCACACCATCCAGTCATCGAGGTAGGCCAGAACTCAAACCCCTAAGAGACGCAGATGTGCCACCACAACCTTGGTATGCAGTGTGAAAATGCGAGGTGCCAGATTTAACCCGAATGGAAGGCAACAAAAGCGGTAAGCCTGATGCCCCACTACAAAACCGAGCCAGTCCCTAATCCCCAGATGAATCGGGATGTGCTAATACGCGACCTGTAGGTCCAGGCACACCATCCAAGCACCCAGCTCCAAGAGAAGACGGATGGAGGGGCAAAAGACACAGGGGGTTCAGACAGGACAAGTGGAAACAGGCGGGAAATCCACCTGAGGGATCAGGATGTTTAACCAC